GCTGGTGAGTCCTGCGACACTATGCGGAAAGCGCAGAAAATTAACGGCGAGGATTCAATAGGTTGGACTTGTTCTGTGAGTTCCATACTCGCAATACTGTTCGTGATCCATTCTTATATCGCCTTGCAGATTCTTCGAGCTGTGCCATTCAGTCGCGTCTTGCCACGCCATTTACTACTTCACCGTCGTCCTGGCTGGTGTTCCTGAACTCGAAAAGCCCGCCAATTCCTACTCCCTGTCTTTGAACCCAGTATTTGAGACCCTCATTACCGCCTTGGTCCAGGTGAGTTCGGTCGCTCATACTTCGTCAGCATTGAGATGATGTCGAATGCAGTCATTCTTTGCTTATCGCCTACGTGTATTATCCGGACGTCGGCATATCAGCCTGGTGTGCTGGGGGCTTGCTTTCCTGCGCTTCGTGGGGGGAATGGCACTAGCGGCGGAGGGTTTCCTCGATGTCCCGAGGGAGCCGGACTATTTTGTGCTCCAGGAACATTATACATGGCTTATCACGTCCGCACTGGGTGTGGGTACGGTTCTAGACTTCCTCATCGCCGTGTTACTCTGTGTCTATATTCGAAAACTTTATACGCCGTATAACTTGCCCAAGTGCGTCACTGCGTTCCTTTCAGTCCATCGCTCCGTTGGCTAAGTTTTTTAAGGAGCGAGGAACTGATTAACCGGTTAATCACATGGACAATCCGTGAGTCCATCATCTGCAGTGAAGCTCAGTCTGACCTTCGCACAGAAACTGGATTGATTACTAGGTACTTAGTCGTTTCCCTTGTTATCCAACCCAGTGCTGATAGCTGTGATAGCCTTACATCGGTGGCCGTGCTTATTACCGTGAGCTTTAATCTTGGGTCTTGCCTGCGGCTGACAACGCCTCATGCAGTTCCTGACAATGAAGTACAACTGTGAATTTAATATTTACATATGATGCACGGATGTTAATCGTTCAACGCAGTCGTCTGGCTCGCATTATACACATCGCTCGCGAAAAGTGAGACCCGCCAGTCATATATTTCAATTTAAAGCTGATACAACGTGTAGTGTATTCAAACTCGCTGCTGGTGTCGTGAGTTCTATTTCTTTTGGTCCGTTAGACACTCACGCTCTTCTTCAGACTCAATTCTCGCCCGCGACATCGTGAGATCGTTCGTCCAGCATCTCCGAAGTCATGGCAATGGGACGCCAGCCGTCCGAGCAGCCCCAGCGTACGCAAATCGGGCTATAATCGTTGTTAATCTATTCCTCAAATTCTTCAAAAGTTAACGATAGAAATTACTCGAACCATGGAGATCGATAATCTCCCTTTGATCAGACCACGACCTGGTTCAGGTTTACAAGTGGTAGGTTATCCGTCGGATCGCCCGAGCATTAGAATTTCGCTGACGTTGATCTATTTCAGCCTGAAAAGGCCGTGTATAATCCAACATCGTACAAACTGGTATAGGCCTGCGAGTATTTGGAACTTGTTGTAAAAGTATCGACACTCATTTGTACTACCACTACCATTCTTCCAGCCATTCTCTAACTTGAACGCTCTGCGGCTGCCTAACTTATTTGTAAAATACCGGCAGTCGTTTGTATCACTACTGTACCACCTTTCGCCAAAGCATTTTTTCGCCTTGAACCGTTGAACGTTATTGCTATATTCAAATTCCCAGACATTGAGTTCAGCGGCCTGGTAGCCAGATCATCAGCTAATTGTCGACCGGTCTCCAGATGGCGACGTAGCTCCGACGGGGTCTGCCGCGGAGCCGCCTGAACGCAGTGCCTGACGGCCGATTAGTATCGACTACTTTCGAAACAGCAGTCTGGCAATCAACGCAGTGAGTAATTTTCAACTGGGACGAACACGGTACTGGAGATCTAAAAGTCTTTGCAGTTGGCATAACGGGGAGTTGTCTTGACTCCAACTGGCGACTCTGACTCAACTCCGAAAAACTCACGACGATCTCTAGGAAAACTGGCCAAGGAGATATAATTTCAGCCATTATATTTTTCGACATTCAGACTCTAAATGAGTGTGAGGTACCCGAAGCCGTCAGTCCAGAAAGGACGAAAGGACGGGGTGCTGAGTGCTGAGTACACTTAGTACAGATAGTACTTGGCGGTGTACTTCACGGAGATCGTGGAGCCTGGAACGCACTACACGCACGAACGGGTAAGCATCAAACAATAAATATACGCAGGATAGAAATCTTACGGATGTGGGCGGCTGTCCATTGACGGTGTCAATGCGGAAAATGTTCGAGGCGAGGTCTCCTTGCGCGTTTTTCAGCGCAAGCCAGTCCACGTTGACTGCGGGGTCAGTGGGGGCGGGGATGTCGCCGACTTTGGCGCCGAGAACATAAGCATTCGCGTTGCCTGCGAATTTTCCAGTGGAAGTGAAGTCCCACTTGGGGGAGAGGCCGGTACCCGAGGGCGAGGTCACAAAGTAGTGGAACTGTTAACACGGATTTCATGAGGAAAGCCAGCTTTAAACGCATGGAAAAACATGTACCCCGAGCAGATTGGGAGCACCAACACGGGCCCCAATGGAGGTGGCCGTGGTCCTACTAGAGGCATCATCCCAAATGTGGAAGGCAGTTTCCTGGATGCCTGCAAAGACGGGTGTTTGGTCCAAGCAAGAGATGTCGAACAGGGAAGCGACAGCTCCGATCGAGCTACATGTTTGTTTTGTGAGTACATCCATCGGATTTACGTTGAAGCTGTCATGACATACGCATAGGTCGAAGTCGCAGAGCAGCTGTAGTTTTGAATCCCAACACCAAGCATCACGAAGAGCGGGGCAGTGGTGGGGCTGACCAACAGGGTCTGGTTCGCCGGCAAGTTCATAATGGCCTTCGCGGTGTCGCAGCAGTCCTCTTTGCGAGCCAGAGAGGGGCTGGCGGAGACCAAAAGCGCTGCGGAAGAAAGCACCGAGAGCAGCTGGAAGGCGAACATTTTTTCTGAAGAGCGAGTGGTTGAAAGAATGGAAATCCCAAGAACGTCTGAACGAGAGGGTTGGCGTTTTCAAGCCCATCGTGATCCTTTATAGGAGAAAAAGGACAATGTGAGAAAGATACTGTAACCCGTGCAAAGCGGTTGATTGATCTCAAACGCGCTCAACGTCGCTTCCAACGACGGATATAAGTTAGCATCCAGTCATCGGCAGGGTCTCGCTGAATTGGAGTTTGAGCATATCACCGAGTTGATGCGATATTATAGACCGCCAATCGACAGACAGCTGCCGACACGCTAACAAGGTTGCTGTTGAGAGTGTGATCCAGAATTATGAATCCCGTGTCACCCAAATAGAACGTGGCTTCTTTTTTGCACTCGTTCAGCTGCTTCAACTGCGGTATCCATGGCCGGGGCGGAAGCGTTCAATCTTGTCATTTCGGGCCTCTTGAAATGCTGTCCCAGCTCTGTCCCTGAATCGGGAACAAGGTGGGAAGGATTTTCCACGAACCCCAGAAGGCGCTGAGATTTCCACAATATTACGGCAACGCCACCCTGGCATTGAACATTGATGCCGACATGTCAGGGGACGCTGAAAGATCCATCTGCACTGATATTAATACTGGTGTGAATACATACCGTACTTCCAAGGGTCCTTACCCTTACCCGACGTTGACATTGTTATTGCTGTCCGAGCTGGCTGCGCGCTCATGATGTTGTCTCCCCAATTTAAATTATCACTGTTCAAATGCGGGTTGCGGATGAAAATGGGAATGGGGCTGCTTCAGCCTACTCTGAGATGGTCTCCCACGTCCCGCGAACAGTGCTACTAATAAATATACGAACACGAAGCGATCACGCACCATCATGACGTTCTCATCCAACGTTTCGTCCTCAACGAATCGGCGGTGAGTCTTCAGAATGTCTGCCTCTGTCCAGTGTCCATGTCATGTCTTGCCGACGTTGTCAAATACTCAATCGTGGGCATGCTGACAGTATCGGAGACGGGGCGCCCAGACGTCAGTTGCGGCAAGAGGTATGTAAGGATGGATGTACGCTCGCCGGATTAGATCTCCTTCACGTAAGACATTGGACCTTGAAACCGTCAAGGAAGGTTCGATCGCATCCTGTCGACGATCTGAGTGAAAAGATGAAAAATGAGCGGTATGGCCGGTCCTGCCAAAGAGACAGGCTGGGACTCGAAGTTTTAAGCCTAAGGCTAGTCGGATTTGATGACCTCAGGATATGCACTGAGTCGCAGATCCTGGCAGACGGGAAAACAGGGATTCGCAAGCGGTCGATTCGAGTTCTGGATAACAAGGGGCTTGTGATCAGGAGGAATGAGACTGTAACAGCGTAACAGCGTCTGTTATAAGACGAGCTGAGCCTGAGTGAGGACAACAGATGCAGCGCTATACACAGTAGAGCGAATGAGACTGGCGCTCTGACATAGGTAAAAAAATGTGGCGGTGCCCATCATTAAATCGGATACAGACCGGGCCGGATCGCGGCTTTGTCCTGAGTTCCCATCTGTTAAAACTTGACCGGTGCTCCCGGTTCACCGTTTACTGGCGTGGTATTTTACGCGCTCCCCTTTACCTTTGCCTTTGACTGTCTTCACGGCGACTCAGCAAACTCCGATCCTTCGAAGTTCGATGTTTGGGAAGACCGACAGGTCGACCTCGGAAGGCAAGGCTCGTGGTCGGTCTGCATCCCGTCGGCGCCGACTCGGACTCGGCGCCACACACGCTGATTCACTTTATAAATGCCTTCCGACTACTCTAACAAGAGGAATTTTAGAAATGTATCACGGACTGGCACGGGCGGCGTAGGCTGCATCTCACAAGCTGATCCAGTTTCCATGTCTAACAGGCGCAATTCTACGATAGAATAAAGGATAAACTCTCTTGTTGCCGGTGGTGATAATGGTCGGAATTTTCCATTTATTACCCATGGCTTTCCACTTGCTTTCCACAGAAGCTCATATCATATAATCAGTATGTCAATGTTCCGTCCATCATTCAACCTGCACTCCAAAGGGATTGATACCAGCGTCGGTGGGGTATCTGGAAACCCGCAGCCTATCAATAACATGACGGAATACCTACTACCTGCTAGGCTGTGCCCGGGGTTCGACTCCCCGTCGATGCATTGGGAAATTTGAGTAATTGTCTTTTTCTCTTCGTGTCTCGCATGGTTGCCTCGAACTTTTTCTCGTTTTGAGACCCATAATATAAGTTGGCGAGTCAGCGAGGCTCGATATATGGGTGCAGTTCAAAGTTGAACAATAAAGATTCAACTGACCCGATGATTATCACCATAGAGTCGAAGTGCGTTTCATTTCCAACTGGTCTGTTGTGGACGCCTCGCGGTCTGTTCTGCAGCCTCGCGAGGCGTCCACAACAGATGATATGAAACACGATTCGGAAAGGTTTCCCGTTCTACCTCAAGAGATAGAAGGGGAAATAGGCGCCAAAACAAACGTAGGCAACGCGCCGCGCGTCAATTCTTCGACTCGACTAAGCACGAGCTGTTGAAATGGAGAATTTACAGCTCGATACACCTACATAGGAACCGCAAAAACATCCTCGTCAAAACCGCTGGGACAGGAGATTCACAGCCGACCGCTCGGGGCGTAGGCATCTATTAGCAAAATGTATTCTATAAAAGATCGTGATTGTGGTGTACGGGTTGTCGAAAGCCCTCGACGATGGTGTTGCTCGATTTTTAGTACAAATAGTACTTCGCCGTGTACTTCACCGAGATGGCGGAGCCGGCAACGCACTGTCGGACAGGTGAGCACCAATCAACAAAGACGCGCAGAAAAGGAATCGTACGGATGTGGGCGGCTGTCCACCGACGGTGTCAATGCGGAAGATCTTGGACGCCAGGGAGCCTTGCACGTTGTTGAGTGCAAGCCAGTCGACGTCGGTCGCGGAGTCATTGGGGGAGGGGATGTCGCCGACTTTGGCGCCGAGGACATACGCCGAGGAGTTACCCGCGAAGCTTCCGGTCGAGGTGAAGTCCCATTTGGGCGAGATGCCGGTGCCCGACGGGGAGGTCACGAAGTAGTGGTACTGTTGAGCGAAAATAAGACAAGCAGGTTTAAGATTATGAACGAGCGGACGACGCGTGGAGCAGATTGAACGTACGCCGAGGAGGTTGGGGGCGCCGACGAGGGCGCCGACGGAGCTGGCTGTCGTGTCCGCAGAAGCCTCATTCCAAAGGTCGAAGGCGCTGCTCTGGATGTCTGCGAATCCCGGTGTTTGATCTAAGCACGAGATGTCGAACAGGGAGGCGACGGCGCCGATCGTGCTGCATGAATATTCCCGCGTGAGTGTCCCCTTAGGGAGCTTGAAACTGTCAAGACATACCCGTAGGTCCCGGCCGCGGAACAGGTGTAGTTCTGGATCCCGACACCGAGAAGCACGAAGAGCGGCGCAGAGGTGGGGCTGACCAACAGGGTCTGGTTCGCCGGCAGGTCCATGGTGGCGTCCGAGGTTTCGCAGGAGACATCCTGGCGGCGAGTGGGGTGGGCAGACACCAAGAGAGCTGCAGAAGAGACAGCAGAAAGCAGCTGGAAGGCGAACATTTTCAGGTAAAAGAATGGAGGAGGGGGAGGAGGGGGACGACGAATGGAAAGAGCGTTTGAAGCTCCACGCGAAGCCGCCTACCTCTTTATATTGAAAAGCAACCTCCTTGTGATTTGATTGCAACGCAATCAAATATTGATCTCAGGGTTGTCACGTTTGCCAAAAAATTAGTCTTGGCAATGGTATAAGTCACCAACCGTTCAATGTTCAACGTTGCTTCAAACCTCCAGCCACGAGCTATCGAACTGCACTGCGTCCTTGAAGAGAAGGAACGATGGACTCTCCCCTACGGGCCTGCTCCAGCCGTCAAATTACGGCAAAAACACCCGAGCATCGGGGTTCGTCGAAACTTCCCAAAGGAACTTAGGAAGATCCTTCCTGCGTTGAGATCGACATCAGTCCAATTTCCACCCGTGTCAGCGGGGTTCTGGGGCGCTCATGGACATCTCACCTCATCTCACAACATCCGCAAGTCGCCAATCAACCCGCTGCCCCCGAACACCAATGAGCAATATTCGGCATTTTGCACGGGATACTGTACCCACGGAGGTTCGGTACAAGTTCGGTAGGTACAATTCTCAAATTATACGGCCGGTCCCGCTGAGGAACACTGGGGCCCAGGAAACGGCAATTCCAATCCTAGCCAATCATTCTCATCAGTAAATCCTTGAGCAACGGCCTGATGCTCGCGTTGACCCGTCGTAGCGACCATCAACCGTACCGGTGAACGTTAACGTGCTGACGCGCTGACGTCTTGAAGTTGAACTAGTACTGGCTTCGTCGCTTCGAAGTCGACGAAAGATTCGGTGCCCGAACCGCAAAATTGTTTGCGGTTAGCAAGTAGAGTCTTATGGTTAGGAACCCGCCGTCCACATCTAAATTCTCATAGCTGTTCTCATAACAATGTCGGGTTCGACTCCCCGCCGAGGCGATGAAGACGACATGAGGTATCCTTTGTGGATGGAACGCGGTCGTTCAGAAATGAAAGTTTCCTGGACCGAAAGCGAGCGCAAGAAAGTTGAAGAAGCAGTAAAGACCACTTTGTCTCCAGCACTTCCCGGGAATATCGTACGGTAGCCCGTAGCCAAGCTAATCCTAATTCGTTGAAGCTGAAGGGAGAGGGAGCATCTGTGGGGTAAAGGAACCCGCGGTCCACGTTAGATTCATTGGAAGAACAGAAAGTGTGAGACCGAGCTCGGGGTTCGACTCCCCGCCCAGGCGATGCAGCGCGATCCGAGACGTTCTTTTTCGATGGAACTCGGTCGTCCAGAAAGAAGAGTTTTCCAGGACCGAAAGCGAGCGCAAGAAAGTTGAAGAAACAGCGGAGGCCACTTGGTCTCCAGCACTTTTTGTTTATCCCGGGGATATCGTACTGTAGGCCGTAGGCCGTACCCAAGATATTCCGGAAGCGCCCCTATGATTGCTGAAGCAGACGGGGGAAGGAGCATCAGTAGGGTAAAGGAACCCGCGGTCCACATCTCAAGGCAGGAAAAATAATTGTGAGGCCGAGCTCGGGGTTCGACTCCCCGCCGAGGCGACGCATCCAGAGATGACAATTTTTTTCACCGAAAGCGAGCGCAGAAAGTTGAATAAACTGCAAAGAAATAGGGCATTGAGAGTGTCTGTGGGGATTCGGAATCCCGCAGCCCTTTTGGATGGGCACATGCACATCTAGATCATTGAATTGCCAGAGTTCGACTCCCTCCATTCTGTGACAACACTGGGGATTATCTTACTGTAGCCCGTAGCTAAGGTATTCCTAATTCGTTGAAGCTGAAGGGAGAAGGAGAATCGGTGGGGTAAAGAAACCCGCGGTCCACGTTACATATATTCATAGGAGAAAAAATAGCGAGACCGAGCTCGGGGTTCGACTCCCCGTCGAGGCGATGAAGTGCGATCCAAGTTATTCTTTTTGAATCGAACTCGGTCGTCTAGAAATGAGAGTTTTTCCTGGACCGAAAGCGGGCACAAGACTTGAAGAGCTAGCAAAGACCACTTTGTGTACAGTACTTTTCGTTTATCTCGGGAATATTGTACTGTAGCCCGTAGTCAAGATATCCCGGAAGCCCCACTCTAATTCGTCGAAGCCGAAGGGAGAAGGAGCATCGGTGGGGTAAAGGAACCCGCGGTCCACATCTTAGGGGAGGAAAAGAAACTGTGAGGCCGAGCTCGGGGTTCGACTCCCCGCCGAGGCGATGCGGGCGATAAAGAGTTACTCTTTTTCGATGGAACTCGGTAGTTCAGAAACAAGAGTTTTCCTGAACCGAAAGCGAGCGCAAGAAACTTGTAGAAAGAGCAAAGACCACTTTGTCTCCAGCACTTTTTTCAGCCGGGGAATATCACACTGTAGGCCGCAGGCCGTAGCCAAGATATCCCGGAAGCCCCACACTAGTTCGTTGAGGCTGAGGGGAGAAAAAGCATCGGTGGGGTAAAGGAACCCGCGGTCCACATCTCAGCTACTCGACCTGTACGAGACCGAGCTCGGGGTTCGACTCCCCGTCGAGGCGATGCAGCGAGACACAAGTGGTTCTTTGGATGAAACTTGGTAGTTCAGAAATAGGAATTTTCCTGGGCCGAAAGCGAGCACAAGACTTGAAGAACCAGCAAAGACCACTTTGTCTCCAGCACTTTCTTTATCTCGGGAGTATCCCGTAGTCAAGATATCCCGGAAGCCCCCCACTAGTTCGTTGAAGCTGAAGGGAGAAGAAGCGTCGGTGGGGTAAAGGAACCCGCGGTCCACGTTAGATTCATTGGAGAAAAAATTGCGAGACCGAGCTCGGGGTTCGACTCCCCGCCGAGGCAATGACAGCGTCAAGAGCCTCTCTTTTTCGGATATAATTCGGTCCCCCAGAAATGAGAGTTTTCCTGGGCCGAAAGCGAGCGCAAGAAAATTGAAGACCACTTTGTCTCCATCACTTTCTTTTTATCCGGGAATATCGTACAGTAGCCCGTCGGCCGCAGCTAAGATATTCCGGAAGCCCCCCTCTGATTCGTTGAGGCTGAGGGGAGAAAAAGCATCGGTGGGGTAAAGGAACCCGCGGTCCACATCTCAGTGGTCCGAAAAGAAATTGTGAGACCGAGCTCGGGGTTCGACTCCCCGCCGAGGCGATGCAGCCGACATGAAGTGTTCTTTTTGGATGTGATTCGGTCGTCCAGAAATAAATGTTTTCCTAGGCCGAAAGCGAGCCCAAGAAAGTTGAAGAAACAGCGGAGGCCACTTGGTTTCCAGCACTTTTTGTTTATCCAGGGGATATCATACTGTAGCCCGTAGCCCTTAGCCAAGATATGGGGAGAAAAAGCATCGGTGGGGTAAAGGAACCCGCGGTCCACATCTCAGGGCAGGAAAAATAATTTTCGAGGCCGAGCTCGGGGTTCGACTCCCCGCCGAGGCGATGCATCCAGAGATGACAATTTTTTTCCTGGACCGAACAACGAGCGCAAGAAAGTTGAAGAAACAGCAAAGAAACAGAAGACTACTAAATTTCGCGAAGTGGAGATGGGTCATTTTGAGGCGTCGGTGTCTGAGTCGCTGCCAGTGCTGAAGTGAGATCTTTGATC